CCTGAGTCCTCCCGGAGAAGGGCGGCATACAAATAATAAAATACCAATACCAATACCAATACCAGTTCAATAGGACTATAAGGCACAAAATTGGATTACATCAATCCAGTTCCAAACAGAAGCATGCCCTTTTTTTTAGGATTGCAGTTTAACTGGCAATTTTTAAAAGAGAAGGGAAAAATTCAGAAAGAAAAATCCCTTTAAGCACCTATTATATTTTCCCCTATCTGCATTCAAAAATATTAAGTGGTTTTTCCATATGTCTTCAGTTCTTTAAGTAAAAAAGAGGCTCCTAAATTCTTCAACTTTTTATTGTCAAGAAACGCTTTTTTATTATTTGGATAGGACTGTTGAATTTATGATAAAAACATAATGCAAAGGGTCATTCAATGTTATTTGAAATGTTAGTGCTTCCCAGAAGGACAAACGTTGCATGCAAATCCCTATCTTATGGGCATTGTTGCATTATTTTTAATTATATCACTAGCCATGTTTTATTTTTAATTATTTCACTTAAAATAATTCAGCTTTTTAAAAATCATGGAAATTCTGATGACTAACTACTTTGATGAATTACTAATAACTGGAATTATTGTCAGAACCTAGTATTTCCTAATTTTGACAACATCTCTGGCAGACCAATACTATTTTGGTATGGGGACATAGAATTATTTGTGCTGGTTTATATTAACATTGCAAATTTTGATCTATGGTTTATATTGTTATATGGACTCTGTGTTGATTATTGTTAAAATAATTAAATGATGGGGGGAAATAAAGGTCTTTGTTTACACTTTTCAGAGCCACATAATAATTAACAGACTTGCAAACTTTGCAACTCAGTTTGTGTCAATCAAAGTCTGTCCTAAATTTCTCCAAGCAATGAGAATGTATTGTCGCATTATAAAATTGTGGTCTTTGTCAAATGGGTGACTTTCTTAAGAAAAAGAAGAATTTCCCTGACTCATTTATACTGTTGGTGAAAATCACAGAGAAAAATTCTTAAAAGTATGCAATTATAATAATAAATCAATTCTGTGTGTCATTTCTGCTTTTCACTATTAATAAATTAACCATGTAACATTGTTCAAAATTATGTCAGTTACGCATATAATCATCTTTTAAATTAATGAAGTGATGAAGCTTTTTGATGACACTCATGATTTACAGGGCTGCTTTTAGCTAATGTTAAAAGCCTTTCATTTAATAAATTGTCCCTTTGAGAAATTACCAAAAATGAATATTTTGTATGCTAAATGTTTCAAGGTTTATACTTTTGCAATATATTAACAAATGACAAGGGAAAGCATTTTTCAAAATAGATCTTCTTTTACATATATTTAATTGAAATTAATTAGTATATTACTTTAGAAGGAAATGATAAGTGAGAAGGGTACAGGGTCATTTATGAGAATTTCTTATGGCAATAAAACACAGTTTAAACAATGGAATTAATCATGTCCTTTAAAACATTTTATGATAGATTAGGAATTACTTCAAGAGTTTTGATTAAACAGACATATCTAAGGGTGTATGCGTATTTGTGTTTGTAGCAGAGATAGATGAGAGAAACCCCCTCCTAATTATTCTCCTGTAATTAATATTTCCCTCATTTAATTATGCTGGAATATGTTCCTGCTGAATATTTACAAAGCTTAAACAAAATTGGAAGTGCAGCTGATTAGTCATTATGCTTTGGCTTCTGTGCAACGCTACTTGTGACTACTTAATTTTTCTCTACTTTCTGTATGTATAGTAATAATCTTTACTAGCTATTTCTTGGCTTCAAATAAGACCAATTGAGATTCAAGGTGTCATATACACATTTATCACTTCCCCATTGTACTATTCTTTTCTTATTTCAGTTCACTAGATAAATTCTAGACAGGATTGCTTGGAGAAAAATTGTACTCCTTCCTGAGAAACACCTTAGTACTTCTCCATCTCAAACAGCCAAATATGGGTATGAGTATTCTTCCTACCCTATACTCAGAAAATCTTCAAGTGGATACTAAACGAAGCAGATTCATTGAAAAAGATTAAGAAATATTAAACATCTTAGCGGGCGTACAACGATAGTGACCATACATTCTTTTTTGTAAAGGACATTCCATTATGTCAGAAAGCTGTCCTTTTAGGTTTATTTATTTTTTCAAAAACTTTATTTTGTGCTTCCTTTGAGTCATTTAACTTTTACATTACAAATGCACAAACCTTCACATACACATTTGCATTTCAAATGAAAAATAGGAACATTGAATTCTCTTTTTCAACTAAATTTATATATACTGTTTGATTTTAGATATTTGTATCCATAACAGTTCTTGGTTTTGCTCTTTAATTTTCCTTTGTAAAGTTAGAAACATAAAACAATTAAGATATTTTATCCTTACAAATAAAATATCCTTGGTCCCTTTTTCAGGGTTATTCTTTATTTTTTCCAACAAAGTATAGTTCCCACAAGTATAAACCATCCTAACCAGTTACCTCTTGCCCATTTATCTTTTTGAGAAGAAATTGTCAAATCTAACATCTAAGGAAAGATATAATTTTATTATGTGAATGTCAGTCCCCATGAGTTTCTTATTTAATGTTTTCTTTGTGATACTAGAAGGTGTTCTTTTGAAATGTGCAGTGTTTTGTATGTGTATGTACACACTCTCCTAAACTGAGTAAAATGAGGCTAATGAACCAAGGGCCTATATGTTTGTCATATTGTTGCTTTGAGGGATATAAATGGTTGTGATCAATGGGTGTTAGCATTTCATTCATTCCTTTTTAAGCAGGTAAATGATGAACAATCAATGTGCATTGTAAGTACCTCATGTAGCAGTTCATCAAAATGACAAATTTTCACAGCAGTTCATTCATAGATAAATTTTGTTCCTTAAATGAAATTAATTTGTTGATAGGGTATCCTAAGAAGAAACAATTGAAGAAAGAAAAATGAAAATAAATGCAACATATATTAAATCTTGTGAGATTTGCATATTTTTGGAAATAACACTGATGGATAGGCATGTGCTTTGAGAAAAATGATAGTCTAGTAACCCATGAAACATTATAAGATATTTGCTTTATTAATAATGTCTTTGTATGGTCCCCTTTTGTTCTTATGCAGATTTGTAATCCAGTTGCTTTACAATTATTGCTGTATTAATTTTAATAAACAAACATCCACAACAAATCAGCTGTGACTATTTTGACATCTGGGCACCTTATGCCAACCTTCACACACACAACACACACAAAACACCTACCATCACAACCACCACAGAAGGCAAAGATATTTCTTTTCATTGATCTGTTGTTCCTTAAATGCATGTGCTTAGCTCAAAAACTGAACTTTGAGGACCTCAGGACTTGTAATAGCCATATCTTTCTGTGAAAGCATCCTAGAAAAGTTGCTATTCGGTTTACCATAAATGTAATAAGATAAAAATGTGTTTACTTTTCTTTTCTAGCTTATTCTCTATAAATAAATGTTGGGGGGGGGGACACACCTTACTTTTTGGCAAATACTTAACCAGATCAGAAAGCTTAACCTTTTTCTTCAAGGAAAGGCCTTAAAACTTAGATTCTGATATGAAAAACACCCATTTTGGGGTTTATTTTCCCATTTCCTGTTGCCTTTGTTATGAAACAGACATTATCCATAAGGTATCGATTAGCATGACTCCAAACAGCATCTTTGCTTCTTAATTGAAGATGCAATTTTAAAATGCCACAAATTTCACGGATTATTAAATATATCGGAAGGTATGAAACCTTTCATGATTTGGCAATGTATTTATTGATGGGAAGAGGGGAATCTGGGCCATTCCATAACATCACATGATAACATCTGAGGTCTAAACAGTTTACCTACCCAGTGGTGAAATTCATTTTTTTTTACTACTAGTTCTGTGGGCGTGGCATAGTTTGGTGGGCATGGCAGGGGAACGATACTGCAAAATCTCCATTCCCACCCCACTCTGGGGCCAGCCAGATGTGGCATTTGCCAGTTCTCTGAGCTACTCAAAATTTCCACTGCCAGTTNTCCCACAAAGGAGGCCACACCCCCGGAGTAGGTTCAAACAATTTTTGAAACTCATCACTCGAGCAATACAGTAATGTCGTTATCACTTTTATTTGCCAAGATATAAAATATTTATATGGAGTAGCACGCAAGCCTTATATAAAGTTGCAATTAAGAATATCATTGTGATATGTGTAAAATGAAACACTCACCTGTACTATAGACACCGAGGATCGAAGATCAGAAGATGTGATAGGATTTGCAGAACAACTTCATAATCATTCTTTTTGCACCCTCATCTACTGTATGAATGCCAGGTTATAGTCTCAAAGAACAGAGGTGAATTCTTAGCAGTTCTGTTGATGGGAAAAGACTCATTTTCCTATATATGAATATGTAACATAGTGGGGAAGGGAGGGCATTGAATCTCACCTTGCCTCCAGTATGCTAACTTTCCGTAGGCAGAGATGACTTTGATGCAGGCTACATTCAAAGAAATATATTTGGAGTAGATCTCCAGTTTTAAAATATGCTTATGGGCACAAAATATATAAAGCTTCCTTGGTCAAATTACAGTTACACCACGCAATTAAGTGAGCTCGGATGCAAATTGCAATAGAGATAGAAGGTAGAATAGAGAGATAAGTCCCATAAATATTTCCCCTGTCTTAATTTCTACTGTCCTTCTCTCCCAATACACTGATACAACTCTGTGCATAGGAAGCATACATGTAAACTAAATTAGAAGCATATATTGATGTACATATTTATTGACTCAGTACAGGGTGAGTTGCTGCCAGCATTACTGTCGGTTCGGCACACACACAAAATTGTGCACTTGTGTCGTGCCAAACACACACTCTGCGTGCATGTGCATTTGCACCTAAAAAGGTCCGTGCATGCACAAAACATTAGAAAAGAGGGGAAATTACATTTATGCAATGAAAATTGTTCTGTGCATGCGCAGAATTGAAAATCAAGATGGTGGTGCTGTAGGAGAATTGGTTTGGGAGTGTGGCAGGCCTGGGTTGCTGCTGGGTCCAGCGACCCAGGATGCCAAACCACTACTGGTTCAGCCAAACTGGTCCGAACCAGTAGGAAACCACCTCTGACTCAGTGGCTAATTCTATTCCCTCCAACCACATGGAGGCATGAAGAACAAGATCCAAAGTAGGTGCTTTCTGAGTAGTCCCTTACAGAAACACATTGCTACTTTGAGGCAATAAGTGTGCTGGTCCCTTATGCCAGGGCTCACCAACCTTTTGGACCTCAGGGACTACTAAATTCATAATTTTAAATCCTGCGGACCACTAATATGATTTTTTTAAAGATAAATAGCATTTAATGCAATATAAAAAATGCAAATAATTTTTTTGTGGACCGCCAAAACTTTCTCACGGACAACCAGTAACCAGTGGTCCACAGACCACTGGTTGGTGACCACTGCCTTACACAGCTTGTGAAACAACAGAACAAAACCCCAAAGATGGCAACTTTAGTTGAGACTGGGAAAGCAGGCATGCAAAAAAGCCAAGCAAACAAGCAAATAAACAAACAAAAGAAGCTAATATGTAAGGATAACAATCTCCAGGGATAACAATTATTGCAGCCCCACTGGAAATTCTGACCTTTCCTGTAGGACACAAAGCAACAGGTTAATATTTGGAAGTTTCAGTCAGTCAGATGACATGGCAGGGCAACCTACCGAGGTGGCGCAGTGGTTAAATGCAGCACTGCAGGCTACTTCAGCTGACTGCAGTTCTGCAGTTCGGCTGTTCAAATCTCACCGACTCAGGGTT